CTGCTACAAAACACAGTCAAAAAGCCAAATGTCATGTTCAAATGTTTCCTATGCCTAATATTAAATTTTCTTGCATTTCTCATGAATATATTTTCCCTATAATAAAAAAAAGCATGACAGTCCTTCAAGCATATCTTTAACTCTTAAGTGGTCATTTTTTCGTAAATGTCTTATGTTATTTTGCCAGACAGAACTCCAGCATTACAAGTTACAACTCTGATATAACAAGCAACATTCATTTTAAATATCTCTTCTCCCACAGGCACCTACAAATACCAAAAGAAATTATGAAAACTGAGCCTGTAATTTGAGAAACAGATTTACTCTATATCTCAAAAATATATATTGCACCAAAAAAAGACCTTCATTTTATTTCCAATTCATAAATGTATCCTAACTGCTAAAGCGGGTCAACTCCAACCAACTTCAAAGAAAAAATATAAGAAATGGACTCAGCCATGTGCCAGTGGCTCATGCCTGTAATCCTAGCTATTCAGGAGGCTGAAATCTGAGAAAACCAGATTCAGTAGGAAAGTCTGTAAGACTCTTACCTCCACTCAACTACCAAAAAAGCCAGAAGTGGAATTGTGGCTCAATTAATAGAGCATAGCCTTGAGCAAAAGCAGCTCAGGGCCAGTATCCAGGCCCTAAGTTCAAGCCCTAGGACTGACTGAGACACACACAAAATAGCCCCAATTATGCTAGTCTTGGACATCCTATTTCTGTTTTTTGCCTTTATGCTTATTTTTTAAGGCATATTAAGAATATAAGCACCACCATCAGATCCAGATAAGTGTGAAATAGAAACAGAAATTGTAAGCAAGATGATGTACAGATATGAATAGACAACCACAGAATGAGAGACTATTCCATACATGTATCTGTAATATTTACAATACATGATATACAAAGACGAGTAACTTCTTTCTACAGTAATTAGAACACTATGTAGCCTCTTGAACTAGAATCCCTACACAGCTATATCAAATACCAAATTACTAAGGGCATCCAATCACATTTTAAAAGCCTCACTGAGGAGCATCATTTGCTGTTTGTATTTTTAAATCTAATTAATCAATCAACTTTGATAAAACTGTAATGATTTGAAGTGTAGAAAACCATTATTATAAATATTAATTTTCCAGATCTCTGGCTTGTTTACCTTTTAAATAGAAACCTTATTGCTAACAACTAGGTATAATAACAAAAAAAAAAAAAATCATGCTTTCAAACCAGCAAGACAAGGGTTTGAATAAAAGTGTGGAGGACAAATTTTCCAAACCCACTTTTACGTCTCCTAAATGACAATACTAATTACCTTAAGAATCGTTATAATGATTATTAAAAATAACCAGAAAACCACATGAAATACAGTAGGCAATAAGCATCTGCTATTGTTATTTCATTCATCATAAGAATATTCATAAAAAAGATAAAAGAACAGAGCCTCGTTTAATACGAAAAAGAAACAAAAACCAAAAAACACCCTGATAGGTCAAGTCAAACTTTGGACCCAATTTTTGTTCATACTTCATATATAAATATATATATATATAAAGTTCCTCCCTGAAATTACATCAAATCCAAAATTAGCCACAGGTCTACTCATTTTGAAGCTGAATGAAAGTGAACAATTACTAGTACATGATATAACAGATAATTCTGTATATAGGTGAGATACCTTCATAACTGGAAAAAATGTCAAAATTAAGATACAAAAATGTTTATGAAAGGATAGTAAAAGATTCCTACCTTTAAACCGACTGTTATAAGATCTGTAACAACACTGTATGGAAAAAGTAAAAAGAGAAAATGGAAAACAAAGTTAGAGAACAAGTTTTTAAAAGACAGATAATAAGATCAAAGAAAAAAGAAAAAGCATTATAATAACAAATAATAAAAATAAAAATGTGATGAGTTGTGAAATGTTAATACAAAGAAAAATGATGGAACAGTCTAGCAACAGCAGAGTATAAAAGCAAAGTCTCAACAGTAAAGCAAGAAGTAAAATAAATTATCTTGTAGTATTTAGAAACTCTTCGGTTGTGCTTCAATATTTTATTTTTATTCAAAAAAATCCAAAACAAGATTTAAAATCACCAAAGCTATTTTAAATCATTGGTACATATGATCACATCTACAATTTTAAATGCAACAAACCAGTGTTGGATTTTACAGAAATACAAAGTATCTTGCAAATCTGCATTTATCACAAAGAACTCACCAGAATACAATTAAGTCTCTCAGAACTAAAATACAAATGTCATAGGTTGGGAGCATGGTTCAAGTGGTAGAGCACTCTGTAATAAATACAAGGCCTTGATTTCAAACCCCGCCACCATCAAAAAATAAAATAAACATCAAATTTCAAGTATCAAAAATTTTAAGTTTTGATGCATTATTTTTTATTTTAAAACACATTAAAACTGTGTTTAAATAAAAATTCCTTCTTAGAGGAAACAGAAACACACAGGAAGCTGGTATTTGAAGTAGAACTAGAGAGAGATGTTGTCATTTTTTTTTCTTGGTACTGCTACTGGAGTTTGGGGGCTGGGAAGGTGGCTCAGTGGTAGAGTGCTTGCCTTGCTACTGGAGTTTGAACTCAGGACCTGGGCACTGCTATGGCTAGCACTCTAGCACTTGTGCTGCAGCTCCACTCCAGCTTTTGGAATGGTTAACTGGAGAGTCTCATGGACTTTCCTGCCCAGGCTGGTTTTGAACAGCAATCCTCAGATCTCATTTTTCTCCTGAACAGGATTACAGGCAAGATCCAGTGGTGGCAGGCTTTGTTCTTTTTATTTAAGAAAAGTACTCAAGGGGAAGTGAAGGGATAGTGGGACAAGGGAAGGGGTAACAATGATGGACAAGTAATGTACCCATTGCCTTACTCATGTAACTGTAACCCCTCTCTACAGCATCTTTACAATAAAATTTTTTAAAAAATAAAGTGTAAAAAGCCCCATAAAGTGTGCTGTACAAGAACTCATCCTCTTCCTTATCTTCAATGAATTGTTTGGCCCCAAATTTCCTACGAAAAAGCTACATATAAATTACATTACTACTAATAATCTATAATGGCATCATTATTTAATTACTTAATATGTTTAAGTGACATATATTTGTTTTAAACAATAACCATATAGATTTTTAAATTTTCCCTTGTAGAGGTCTGAAACTTGAAATTCATTTTTCTGATATTTAAAGGTGACAAAATACTGATGTTTTCTGCATTTAAAAAATGTGTGTGTAGTACTATATTGGTCCTGACACAGTAAAACATGCCACATTGTAACTCTGAAATGAACTTACCTTCCTATATTTAAGCCAATAAACAGCTTTAAAATCACAGATGAAGCAAACAGATAACTATCAGAAAGAGCAATTTGTACTTCATGGTGGTCCAAGAGTTTAACACCCAAAATAAGAAAGTCAAAAGTCCTCTCTTTTTAACTATAAATTTTGCGACCCAAAAAAACTAGCCCACTTCCTGAAGTCAAACTTCTACGAATGATTCACTACACATCATGAAACTAATTACACAGCCTTCCTGAACTCAAACATTGGCACAATACTGGCACAAGCATGCATTTAAAATGAAACTGAATAAGGCACTATGTTTTGAGTCTTCTCTCTCAAAGAACCTTCAATGACACGATAGCATAAATGAAATAACAATACTTTAAGAATATCAAGACCGTAAATTTTTTTTAAAAATCTAAAATTACACTTTGATGTCTGTGGCAATGTGCAATCCACATTCAAATGAGGTAATCCACACATCACACTTAATATTGTGAAACTAACTAAGAAATGAAACTTAATGAAGGCAAAATTTGTTGTTAGATTTTAGTGTCTTCCAGTAACAGGTAACAATCAACTGTATAGCAAAACGTAAACAGGCTTTTACTTTATAAGCAAGTTCTACATATTTCACATGCAAGAAACTGGCAGAAATCTTATCATCAAAAGTAAATAAATAAAATTTAAAAACGCCGTGTGTGTGTGTGTGTGTGTGTGTGTGTGTGTGTGTGCTCGAGTGTGCGCACTTAGCAAGCCAAACAAAATCTCATAATGGGGATAGTTGACGATTTTTTAAAAAATCTTGATGCACAGATAACACTGTCTTCAATTAATTCACCAAGATCATTGCTTTAATCATGAAAATATATCAGGCCTCACCCCAGATCCCTTGACTTCCCAGAGAAATATTTACACGGAATAGGTGACTCTACATCCTTTTATTCGGGTCAATTTAATTGCTGTGTTTGAAAAGCTCCCCGAAAACTGCACTTACACAATCTCTTTTCATACAAGGAAGGCAACGAATTTTACCCAAGTTTCTTGGGAGTGGGGGACAACGGGAAGGCGTCTACGGTCACTAGGAACAGGCGCCCGGTGGGCATGAAATCGGAAACATTATCTCCCACCCCTGGCGCCCCGAGACCACGCGCGGGGCACGGGTTCGAGACCCGGTCGCCGCCCAGACGTGTACCGACGCGCGCACTGGCCTGTCGCCACCCGGCGGCCGCTCGCCTCGCCTGCGGGGAGAGCTCCGCCGCTCCCCTCGCCCCACCCCACCGGTAAACAGCAAGTCGCCCGTCGGTCCGCCCGGCCGTCCACCCGACCGCCGCCTTCCTCCCCCAGCGCCGCACACCATTTTCCGGGAGGAAGTGTCGGGAGGCCGGCCGGCCCCGCTCCCCGGACTCCGGACGCGGAGGGCGGACCCCGGCACCGGCGGTCGGGCCGGGCTTCCCCCGCTTCCCGGGGCGCCCAGTGAGGGTGGGAAGGGGCGGGCAGAACTGAGGCGCCACGAACAGGAAGGAGCGGCTGGGGCGGCCGGCGTTCCTGAGGCTCGGGGTCCCCCCCGGAGGCGCCCGGAAGCCCCGCCGTCGGGCGACGCCGCGCCCGGCTCTCCGGCCCTCGGCGTGTCCCGCCGAGTGGGAGGAAGCGGAGCCCGAGCAGCCCGACGCGGGCGCTGCGCCGCGCCGCCTGGCACTTACCCATCCATGGCCCAGACGGAGGAGCGCACCGTGCGCGGACGGACGGGCTAGCCGCGGCGGCGGCGGCAGGGGCAGGGCAGCTCCGGGGACCGGCGAGCGGCGCCTCTCCAGAGCCCCAGCCGGTCGGAGGTGGAAAGAGTGGGAAACAGGGGCGGGGACCAGGCACGCTCCCGCCACCTCCGCGCCTCCGCCTTCCCAGCCCGCGAGCGCGTCCCCGCCTCGCTCGGCCCCGCCCCCCCCGGCGTCGACGCCCTCCCTCGGGGCCCGCCCCTGCGCTCGCGCCCACCCTGGGCTCGGCTCCAGGGCGCCCTCTTCCCGCCCTCGCCACTGCGCCCCGCCCTCCGAATCACGTCGCGACGCACGCACGTACGCACGCACGCGTGCGTGTCCTCGCCTCGCTCCTGCGTTCGCGGGAGCGCGCGCCTTGTGTTTTGCGCTCGGCCGCCCGTCCTCGCGCCTGCCCCGCGGGCCTTCCGGCCCGGCGGAAGCCCTGCTGGCACACCTCCCCCTGCTGGCGGGAAAAGCCCAGGCCCGACTCTGTAACGTCGGTAGAAATGTCCCGCGGAGACCCTAGAGCCGAGATGGAATTGCTCCGACATTGTTGGCTGCAAGGCCAGAAACCGGGCACGGCCGTTGGAAACAAGTCCCTGGCTGTCGTTTTTCGGAGACTCGGGTTCTGCAGCCCTGGGAAGTTCAAGGCCTGAGTGGGGAAGAACCCCGGCCGGGGCCAGTCCCGCAGGTCCGCCTCAAGGCGAAGGGAGTCGCCTCCTAGGCCCGGCTCCAGCCCGGTAGGTGTGGTTAGGAAGATCCTGGAATGGAGTGCCTGGTAATTTTTAAGCAGTTTTCGTCGCAGTGCTTTTCTAGCTGACAATCCGGTACTGAGTTTACATGGAGCTTGCATTTGCCCGAATCTAGTGTGGACACTGTATTGCCATAGTTTTAAAAGTCTTACCTTTCTCAGGGTAGGGATGGGGGTGGGGGTGGTCACTTTTAGGTAGAGATTATTCACTTTTTCCACATGAAAATATAACGAGTAGTGTGATTTATTTACAAGTTCACAGTCAGTTCGTTTGCACCACAGCCCTTTCTGTCTGAACAAAAATAAATAGGTATATGTAATACAAGTAAGTGTCTAACTACTGACAACACGCTTTTTTCCCCTTTCATCGACTGTCTAGTTGTGAAATTGAATGGCCTTTGGATTCACAGATCGCCAGAATGTGAGCCACTGCTTTCAAACCAAATTTTAAACCTCTCCCAGTAGAAATAGGGAGCTGCTGTCCCCACTTGAAGAGCAAGTAATAACCGCAACCATATATCGTTTCTAAAAATATCTTGCTTTAAATAAGTAGGTGTTACCAAAAACAAAAAAGATTTAAACTGAAGACTCATGCAGTCAGTATTTATTGAGAGTATGTATTATGTGCAAAGCACTGAAGGTGTAGATAAATACACATGAACTCAAATTGCAGCCTTCATGGCTGAATGGATTTTTTTTCCCCCTTTGGTGCTGGTTTTAGTGCTGGTCCTAGAGTTCTAGTGTTCTCGAATAGAGTTCCCTTCCCATAGCTTAGTACACTTCCCCTCTCCATAGTTTAGCATGCTCCCTTCCTGGGCAACACTAGGCCCACTTAGTAAAGGCAGTAAATAATCAGCCTCCAACCCCCTCTACCTTGAGATGGCACTTCTCTGGGGCAGCTACCACCATATAAGGCAGCAAGAGCCCCATAGAGTGACCTTCAGGTCTGGGCAGTTGCAGGTCTCCTTACTGTTTGGATAACAGCCATAAATCCTAGTCCGCCATGATGAAGCCCCTGGCCTGCACTTTCACACCAGGGGTCTCTGCCTCCTAGCCCCTCCTAAACCTCCTAGGTTATATAGGACACCTCAGACAATAGTAGGTGCTTCTCACTAGAAGGGTTCTTCCTGGTCCCTTTCCCAGCAATAAACCTTTCTTTGTTCTCTGTACCTGGATGTCTGCATGGTTTTCTGGCAAAATCCAAATAATCTAACAGGCAGTGTCCCTTAGCTTCTATTCTCAAGGCTAGTTCTCTACCATTTTGAGCTACAGCTCCTTTCCAGCTTTTTTTTTTTTTTTTTTTTTTTGTAGCTAATTGGAGATGAGTCTCATGGACTTTCCTGCCCAAGCTGGCTTTAAACTACAATCCTCAGATCTCAGCGTCTTGCATAGCTTAGGATTAACACCTATAGGTGTTAATTAACGCCCAGCTTTATTATTTTTTTCTTTTTTTTCCTGTTTCTTTTTTTGATGTTCTTGGGGCTTGAACTCAGGGTCTGGGCCCAGAGCTTCTTTTGCTCAAAGCTAGTGCTCTACCACTTGAGCCATAGCTCCACTTCCAGCTTTTTCTGAGTTCTTTATTGGGAATATGAGTCTCATGGACTTTCCTGCTTGGGCTGACTTCCAACTGCCATCCCCAGATCTGAGCCTCTTGAGTAGCTAGAATTACAGATGTGAGCCACCTCACCTCACTCAGTTCTTAACAACAACAACAAAAAGTTTCCAAATAGAGAGTCTCATTCAGTGAGTTCATCATTAATTAAGCTACTATGTCTATAAACCTCAGTCGTGTTTTCCAAAATATCAAATATCTTTTTGTATGTGAAGTCCAAATATTAAGTTATATTTGTAAATATTGCCACCATACATTGCCAGATGTATACAGATAATTCACTATTTTAAAATAGCTTAATAAATAGATAATACAGCCTTTCTCCTGCTGTATTTGGAGTATATTCTGCTGATGAAATTTTCATAATTTTTTGTTTAGGTAGATACAGAATATAAATGTTGACACTCATTTTTGAAAATTCAAGCAATGTTAAATATTTTAAATCTTTTGGTTTTTTTCTCATCCAATTTTCCCCAACCCATGATAAACTCTGTAATAATATTTATGCATCATTCTAGACCTTTACTATAAAAAGAAGTACATTTCTTTTTTTTCTGTCAGTTGTAAGACTTGAACTCTGGGCCTGAGCGCTGTCCCTCAGCTCTTCAGCTCAAGGTTAGCACTCTACCACTTGAGCTACAGTGCCACTTGTGGTTTATTGGAGATAAGTGTTTCACAGACTTTTCTTGCCTGGGCTGGCTTTGAACCGTGATATTCAGATCTCAGCCTCCTGAATAGCTAGGATTACAGGCATGAGCTACCGGCACCTGGCTAGAAGTATAATTCTTATAATCAATTTAATTATCTTTATTACTGTATAGTAGTTCCTAATTTAATATGCTCTAATTTATTTAACCTTTTCCCAAATAAGAAATGTCAAGTTTTTAATTATTTAATATAACTAAGAATATTGTGGAAATGTCATATACATATGAACATCTTACAGCCGTGCATAAAAATATATATGCATGCCGGGTGTGGTGGCTCATGCCTGTAATCCTAGCTACTCAGGAGGCTGAGATCTGAGGATTTCGGTTCAAAGCCAGCCCGGGCAGGAAAGTCCATGACACTCTTCTCTCCAATTAACCACCAGAAAACCAGAAGTGGTGCTGTGGCTCAAGTGGTAGAGCGCTGAAGGCTCAGGGACAGTGCCTAGGCCCAGAATTCAAGCCCCGCAACCAACACTAAAAAAGTATGCATAAACCATCATCTGCACCAATCTGAGAATAGATTATTAGAAGTAGAATTGCAGAACAATAGATATAAGCATTCCAGATTTGGTAAATACTGCCAGAGTTATTCCAAAAAGATGCCAGCTTACATTTTTTCTTAAAAAAAAGGTTATATCCCTTTCTCTGGTTTTTGTTCCTGTGCTGGGTCTTGAACTCAAGGCCTCGTGCTCTTGCTTAGCTTTTTCCACTCAAGCCTCGTGCTCTACAATTTGAGCACACATCCACATTTTGTTAGTCTCCTTTCTCGGTACCTATATTTCATTGTGAGCCATCAGAACCTGGTTTTATTATAGAGGTGTCTTAACTTTATGCCTTAAGATAACTAACAAAAGTTAATATTTTTTCAAAATGTGCAATGTGTGTGAAACTCATCCATACTAACAATTGTTGTGCAGTGTGCAAGGTAAAGACAGTGCACCTGAATAAAGTGAACAAAATAACACGGCATTTGCTAAACCTCAAGTCCAGCTTTACGACAGAGGCCTAGATAAAAAGAAAACAGATTACAGTAGAAAGCAAGGTAAAACTTCTCCATTTCCCATACCCCTTGACCTCAAAGTCAAAGAATTTAGGGACTGAGCTCTATGAATTTGTGAGTCTCTGATTCAAAAACAGTAGATAAAATAGAGCTTAATTCTTCAAAGCCCATGTTTAGGATCTTTGCTGTTCCCATAGCTCACATAACATAGAGAGCCTTGCCCTTCCATAATCTCAGCAATGGCTTCTAGGTTTCTAGAATGATCAGATATCACCCATGTGACCTAAGTACCAGCACTGGCTTCTGGATGGTAAAGAAGGGAACATTTTCTCTCTCATAATTGCTCTATTTGTTGAAAGGGATGACATTCTAAATAGTTTATATTCTAACATTTTATATTCCTTGGTTTTTATTCTAATTTGCCTAAGGAATTCCCAGGAAACCCTTGTAGTTTTATCAGAGCTACAACCTCACCCTTACATTTGGACAAAATGTAACCTTTGAACACTTGCCTTAAGCCATTCCAGTATGCAGTGGTTAGTTAACAGTTAACCTATGTTACCCTGTTCATGTTTACAGGTAAGACTTTTTAAGACATAAAATAATAGGAAGATATTAATATAGGTCAAATAATAATAGCCATCAGGTGAATCTAGGAAGGTCAACATTTTAGTATCATTTTATCCTGTAAAAAATGCAAAATTGTGGTATATATATATGTATATATATCCTAAGATAGAAGCCTCTGAAATTATACTGAGTAAAAAAGAAAATCTGAAAAATTGCACACTGTATGATTCCCTTTCTATAACATTTTCAAAAAGCCAGAATTATAGAGAGAAGAAGATACTGGTTGGAAGAAATTAGGAATGGAATGGAAGGGAATGGAGGCGGATGGAGATGTCTGTGATGATATTTGTGGTATTAAAACAATTCTGAATTTTGATTATAGAGGTGGTTATATAAATCTGATATAAATCTGAACAATAAAATCTGCATAGAGTTTTGGTATAGGTTGCAAAATCAGAAGATGAGTACACTTATGTCAGTTTCCTGGTTT